AAAGCTCATTCCTAAGTACTTGATATTTCCCTCCCTCTCTCTCTCTCTCTCTCTCTCTCTCTCTCTCTCTCTCTCTCTCTCTCTCTCTCTCTCTCTCTCTCTCTCTCTCTCTCTCTCTATCTCTCTCTATATATATATATTATATATATATATATATATATATATATATATATATATATATATATATATATATATATTTACGCTCTCTTTATCTTCTTGTTAAATCTTGATTTGAAGCTGTCCCGATCGACTTGTTTACGGCCTTAAGTGTACACGTTTTCTAAAGATTTTTAAGAACTGATTTAAGGCAAAAGGGGGAAGAGGGAGAGAGAGAGAGAGAGAGAGAGAGAGAGAGAGAGAGAGAGAGAGAGAGAGAGAGAGAGAGAGAGAGAGAGAGAGAGAGAGAGAGAGAGAGAGAGAGAGAGAGAGAGAGAGAGACTCCTTCGCATAAAATTGAATAGATCAAGGGCAATATAAAAGCCGAAAATAGGAATATATCCGGAATATTAAATCGCAGGCTGGAGTGAAGGACCTCGCAGGGCAGTTTCCGTTTGCTCTCGAGGAGGAGCGAGGGCAGAGGCCTGGAGAGAGGGGGATGTTGCATGTTCTTTGCAATTGATTCGGGGCCTTCTGCGTCTGCTGTGAAGCCCTGACCTTCCTTTTATTATTCATTTTTATTTTCATTGGGGGAGTGGGAGGCCCGTTTCCCGTCCTGCTTTGTGTTTATGTTAACGTCTTTTCGTTTCTTTTAGATTTTTTAATGAGTAAAGCCATATAGTGAAGGATATTTTTGTTTCTTTTTATCTACGGTTTATACCTTTTTGGCTCAAGAACATTTTTTTTGGTATGTTTTTTTTCAGTGTCAACGAATGCTTCTCCTTTTGCTGATGTGGTTACTTGATATTGATTTCCTCTTCATTAAAGAACTAGAAGTGTATTGAAATTTTTAATCGTTTCGAGATTCTGTTAGATGGTTATTAATGAGATGTCATTGGCGATTTTTTTTCCAAATGAAAAGACGTAAGAGCTGAGTTGATATCAATTATGGCCGAAGATGGTGCTGACACAACTTAGAGAAGTAAGAAAAAGGTCTGAAAGCAGAGCGCGCGTACACACACGCACACACACACGCATGCACGAAGCGTAAACAGTTTTGAATATTAATTATCTTTCGATTTTGATTTCTTTAGGATAATTATGAATGTCAAGAAAGGATAAAAATGAACATTGAATTATTTCAGCTCTGATTTCTCTGAGCATAATCACTGCCGTAAAACCCGGCGAAAAAAAAATATATATATATATAAAAGTAATTCACCGGAATTCAAACGCGAATCGTACACGCGAATGAGTATTAATAATTTACCTCTGATTTAGCACATGAGCGGCCTACGTCATGTCACTCGCCTCTCATCGGACGAGCACTTACGGAACGCGACATGCCATGCTGTGAGACGGAACGGCGGGGGAGTCGGTCTGTAATTTGTAGCGTCGCGGAGCATGGGCGGGGCATGTGGCGGGGAATAATTACATAGGTTGTGGCTGTTGGTTGGCTATGTTGGGGTGGGAAGAGTAGTGGCACTAAGGAGGGAATAATTACATAGGTTGTGGCTGTTGGTTGGCTATGTTGGGGTGCGAAGAGTAGTGGCACTAAGGAGGGAATAATTACATAGGTTGTGGACTCTGCTGTTGGTTGGCTGTGTTGGGTCGGTAGGTATGATGGCAGTGATCACGAGAAGAGTTATGATACTCTGATTATAGCAATTGAAGTTCATGATTGTAATTCCGATGATGTTTCCCGTTGATGTTTGCAGATCTGCAACTGTAATCCTATGACCGCCTGTTTGTCTACGGCTTTAATTAACATCACATCCCCAGATATTGAAATTAGTTGAGTCAGTGCCGAGTCGACCCCATCAGTGGGTAGTGACCCGGATGCGTGAATGAACTGATATGCAACATAATGATAAAAATCTGTTTCATATTTTTGATCATTCGTTTTCCATTGTTTCATTTGTTTTTCCATTCCATTCGCTGCGTTTCGAAATGCCGCCGCCGGTCGTCAGTGGAGGACCTAGTTATTAGCAATCAATTACTGAAATTGTTTGTCTGTTTGGGTCATAATATCGAAACCCCGGATGTAAATAGAGTTTTGCATTGATCGCATAAGCCTTGTCAAATCCATTTTATTTCTTTTTTGTAATGTTCTTTACAGCTCTGTCATTCCCATCCTGTTAATGAATGTGTGCGTGTGTGTGTTTGCGTGCGGATTGTGTGCTGGTGTGTGGTCGAGTTGCTATCGTGTGGAATGTGTGACATTTTACGTGTCATGCACTGTATGATATTGCATAGGTCAGCGGGTTTTTCTTTCCTTTTTTTTTCTTTCTTTTCCCTTTTTATTACGCGTGCGATCATTCTAGAAATTGCCGCTCGTTTGAGCATGAAGCCAACTCCTATTTTGTTTCATTTCGAAGCGAACCGTTCCCCGCGAGGATGGCAGTTACAGCCTCAATAACGGATCAGAAGCCAGGCGGGAGACGCACAGCATCCATAATTCATCAACGGCCCTCATCCGGAACTGCGATAACCCGGAGAGCCCCTTCGTAGCTCTTCCGTCCCGCGCCGGAACCACGAAAACCCGGAGATCTCCTTCACAGCCCTTCGTCCCGCGGCTTATTCCCAGTCGCGAGGCGTAATTTTCGGAAATGGCGGACGGGGGAAGTTTCCGACCAAATAAATAAATAAGGGAAGTTGCCTTCGGGATGCCGGTCGGTTTGAACTGAAGTCTCGAGTCCCATCTTATGAATACAGATGACCGCGCCCGCCAGGAGACCGAGGCTGGTCTTTGAGGCGTCCCGAGGGCTCCTCGCCTCCGCCGCCGCCGCTCAAGGGTCGGCGCGGCTTCATTAGTCATCAAATGGGGGAGGGGGCGGGGTCTCGTGCTTTGGGTTTTGCCTTGTTTCTGTTTTTCCTTTCCTTGTTTTCTCGTGTTTTTCCCATTTGCCTCTCTCTCTCTCTCTCTCTCTCTCTCTCTCTCTCTCTCTCTCTCTCTCTCTCTCTCTCTCTCTCTCTCTCTCTCTCTCTCTCTCTCTCTCTCTCTCTCTCTCTCTCTCTCTCTCTCTCTCTCCGTCTCCCTTCCCCCCTTCCACTTCCTTCCCTCCCCAGTATATACAAGTATGTGTTTATACATGTGTGTGTAACTCGCAGGCATACGTATGATTTTTTGTTGTCTTTTTTTCTCACGGGCGTTCACCTCTTCCAGTGCCGCCCACCAAACGCCAAACTTTTAACTTCTTGTCACATTTATACCACCGTGAGGGAAGCTTGTGGGTTTCTAAAATGTTGTTGGTATGACAGCCCGTAATGACTGACTTACACGGAAATTCGAGTGTAAATGTTATGGCTGTTGCTATAACAGCTTTGGTTGGTGAAAAAGCCAAGTCTAGCAGCAGCAACAACAGCCGCAGCAGTAGTTACAGCAGTATGGTTATAGTAACAGTATTAGTTCTAGCAGTAGCAGCAGAATTAGTAGTATAGTAGTAGTAGTAGTCATAGCAGATGTAGAAATATAGTAATAATAGTTGTTGTAATATTAGTTCTAGTCGTCATGGTAGCATAAAATTTTCCAATCATAAAATATTTGATTCTTGTAACCTGAAGTCACATTTATGATAACAATACACCATAAGAAGTATTCCTTCCCATTGCATGTTCAGTAGCACTGTGGGAATCTAATAAAATTGTTTAAAGACCTATAAAGCTAATTCATGCCGCTGTAGAGACAAATTGACGACCAATATTTCGTATCTTTTCCCCGTTGGATGTTGGGGTCATTCTTATTTATGCATTGATTTGTATGTAAGGTAAGTGTATTTCTTTCAATATTTTGTAGTTCGTTTCCCCCTTTCTTTTCATTCATTGTTTACAGTGATGCAGAACTTTGGCTAGTATGCAAGATTTATGCTTATTTTTTTAAAGATCTTGAGATTTGAAAAAAATATATGCACGTTTACCTTCCTCGCCGTTATCTTATGTTCCCTTTCGATGCCAGTTATTCTCCCTTCCTCTTTCTCCTTATCTGTTATCACTGTCTCCGCACTCTTCTTGCCTCTCACCCAGGTTGGCCCGATGTTGTGCTCTTGGGGCTAAACCACAACTGCGCGATTTTCCTCCTCTTCCCTCCATGATGCTTCATCCTGGCACTCCTTCCCTCCCTCCCCTCCCCTCCTCCCTCCCTCCCTCCCTCCTCCTCTCTCCCTCTCCCCCTCTCGCTTTCTTTCTTCGTCTCTTCGTCCCTCTTTTCCTCCTTTCCCTCTCTCCATTTTTTACCTCCCTCCCTCTCTCCTGCTTGCTTCCCTCCGTTCGCCCCCCCCCCACCCTTACATTCCCTCCTCCCTTATCAGGCTTATTACCTCCCTCTCTGTACATCCTCTCCTCTCGCCTGCTTCCCTCTCCGTATCTCTTCTTCCCTTTGCTTCTATGTCTATCCTGTTTCTTCTCTTCCATCCTCTTCCTCTCTCCTTTCTCCTCTCCTTACCTTCCGCTCATCTCCTTTCCTCTTCTCTCTCCTCTCTTCTCTTCTCCTGCCTCCTTCCTCTCCCCTCCTCCCTTCTCCTCCCCTCTCCTCTTATCTACTTTACCCTCTCTTCCCCCTTCTCTCCGACTCTCTTCATCTCTTTTCTCCTTCCTTTTCTCCTCCTCCTCCTCCTTTCCCCTCTCTTCTCACCTTTCCCTCTCTCCTTCCCCCTTCCCTCTCTCCTCCCCTTCCCCTTCTCTCCCCCTCCCTTCCCTCCCCCTCCTCCTCTCCCCCTTCCCCTCTCCTCCTCCCTCCCTTCCCTTCCCCTATCTCCTCCCTCCCCTCTCTCCCCTCCGCCTTCCCCTCCTCTCCACCCCTCCCTTCTCTCCTTTTCCTTCCCTTTTCCCTCCCCTTCCCTCTCCTCCCCTCTCCCCACGCCTCTGAAGCCCCTGTGATTGAGCCGGGCACGTGTCTCCTCCCCGCAGGGCATCACGCTGAAGATGAACGAGGAGGGCCGCTGCATCGTGGCTCGCATCATGCACGGCGGGATGATCCACCGCCAGGCGACGCTGCACGTGGGCGACGAGATCAGGGAAATCAACGGGATGCCCGTGGCCAATCAGAGCGTCGACATCCTCCAGAAGATGCTGGTGAGGGAATCCTCGCGCTGTTCTTGGGCGTTTGTGTCCGGCTGTGGGGAGGGGTGTGCGTGGCGCGGCCTGAGGGAGAGCGTGAATGAGGGAGGAGGGAGGGCGGGACGGGGAGAGAGAGAGAGAGAGAGAGAGAGAGAGAGTGAGTGAGTGAGTGAGTGAGTGAGTGAGTGAGTGAGTGAGTGATGATGTGTGATAGTGAGGGAGTCAATGCGGGGTTATATGTGGATGTTTGTCAGATAGAAAAAAATGAGTGTACGGTTGCTGCGTGTGTGAAAGGGAGAGCGTACATGTTAAGTATGTATGTCCATGTATTTGCGAGTCTCGTATAGCTGCCACAACTCCCCGGACGTGACTGGAACCTAGTTAATAATAATAATGTGTGACTGCTTGGGTTTGTATGAATGCATATGCCCTTTTGACGTGTGTGCTTGTGTGTATTTACTTTCGTGGTTAAGTTAAGGCGGAGGAGTTAGCTTATTGATGCGCGAGTCATTTCAACGGAGAATGAACAGAGAGACGCATTATTGAAATGAAATTCTGAGTGCTTCAATTATAACACGATATGAACAACAAGTGGCTTCGGAGTGACGCACATTATATATTGCATTATCAATATTAGTAATCAGTTCATATGTGTTTTTTTCACTGGTGACACTGACATTTATGATAATAATAAAGGCGGTAATAACAATACAGAACAATAGTAGTTCGAATAAAACGTAAAAGAGATCATATTGCTTTGGCGACTGAAAATGAAACCACAACAGGTTCCTTTAACATTAAAGCGGCCAGTCACAAAGTACATAAGGGCCACAATAGCCTTCATTATGGCCTCCGCGCCGCTCTTTTGGCTCTCGCCCCGACCCCGAGAGCCAACTCCGTGCCTTTCACCGCGCGAGGACACGACCGAGGCCCATCACGGGGGGGGGGGGGGGATTTCTGTGATTGCGCCCTTGGGAGTGTTCTGTGAATGGTGTGTTGCGATTGTTCTTTCAAATGTTGTTCTGTGATGTTTTGTGTTTTTTTTAAGTGTTCTGTGACTGGTGTTGTGTGTGTGTTCACTGAGTGTTCTTCTGTGAATGTTTTTTTGTGTGTGTTCTTTCAAGAGTGTTCTTCTGTGAATGTGTTTTGTGTGTTGAAGTGTTCTTCTTTTTTTTTGTTCTTTAAGTGTTCTGTGAATGGTGTTCTGTGAGTGTTCTTCTGTGAATGGTGTTTTAGGTGTGTTCTGTGTGAGTGAGGTTTTGTTAGGGTTCTCTATGAATGTCCTGTTAGGAATGTTCTTTTTGGGGTGTTGTTATGTGAATGTGTTCTTTGTTCTCTGTCAGTGTTCTTCTGTGAGAGTTCTTTTGTAAAGGCTTCTTTCTGAAAAGTATTCTGTGAGTGTTTCCTATGAATGTTCTTGTGTGTGCTTCTGTGAATGGTGTTTTGTGTGTTCTCTGAATAATCTTCTGTGTCCTTCTCTGAATGATGTTTTGTGATTGTTCTCTGGGAATGTTCTTTTGGAAGTGTTCCTCAGTCAGTGTTTTGTGAGTTCTCTCTTTGAATGTTTTTTTGGAAGTGTTCTATGAATGATCTTTTCGGTTGTGCCTTTCGAAGTGTTTTTGTCTAAATGGTGTTTTACGAGTGTTCTTTGCTAATGTTCTTATGGGAGTGTTCATCTATGGATGTTCTGTAAAGGATGTTTGGGGTATGTTCTCTATGAATGTTTTTGTTCAGTGACTTTCGGAAATGTTCGTTGGGGAGCATTTTTTAGAGATTTTTTTTTATCTTGTTCAAGAGTTTTTCCCCATTTTGGGATGTTCTATTTGTGAACATTTAGGGCGAGTGTTCCCTTTGTGAGTATCTTGTGCGAATGATGCTTTGTGGACATTCCTTGCGGATTTAGGGTGTGATTCAGTGAGTGTTATTCTGTGAATGTTCTTCGTGAATGTTCTCTCTAGGCAGTTCTTGAGGGGGCGGGAGGTGGGGGGGATTTAGAGGGCAAATGTTGTATGTGATTCCCCCGTGTCCTGTTTGTATTGCTTGCTTGTGGGTCGGGTCTCATCTGGTCGTGTGGGCGACGGGAAACCGCCCGGATTTGCGGATTCGAGCTTCTTTGCTGGAATCGATGGGAATGCTTTGCTTGTTTGGAGGGAGGGAGGGAGGGAGGAAGGAGGAAGGAAGGAAGAAGGAAAGGAAGGAAGGAAGGAAGGAAGGAAGGATGAGGATGGGTGGGTGAGAAAGAGGAGAGAAGAAGGGAGGGAAGAAAGGAGGGAGGGATGGGTGGGAAGGTGGGTGAGGAGAAAGAGGAAGAGAAAAGGAGGGAAGGGAGGGGGTGAAGGAAAAGAGGAGGAGGAAGGGAGGGAAAAGAGGAGGGAGGGAGGAAGATAGGGAAGAAGAGGAAGGGAGGTTGGGAGGGAGGGAAAATAGAAGGAAAGGCAGGGGTAAGTAGGGAGAGAAGGGAGAAGAGAGAATGAAAAAGGAGAATAAGTAAAAGGAAGAGAAAAAGTTATACAGAGTGGAAGCCTGATAAAACGTGTGATTGGGTGCATGCATACGTGGGGATGTATCAGGGTACCCATTCTTTCAGGGAATACCTGGAAATTTGTTTCTCTTTTTCCTATCAGAAAAAGTCAGGGAATTTGTGATAAAAAAAATAGATAAATCAGGGAAAAAGCCTGAATTGGATTGAAAATTTCCCAGAAGGCGAAACACTGCCACACACGCTAACGCAAACACCATATATATATATATATATATATATATATATATATATATATATATATATATATATATATAATATATATGATATGTGTGTGTATGTGTGTGTGTGTGGTGTGTGTGTGTGTGTGTTGTGTGTGTGTGTGTGTGTGTGTGTGTGTGTGTATGGTGGCACCTTATGGACCGAGGGCTTGCAATGAATATGTTATGTCCGGGGAAAATCGAAATGATCATGTTGGGAAAATCTATTTCAGGGGAAACTATTTATTTTCCTGCGTGGGAACCTTGGATTGCGATGTTTCCGAAAGAAGTATATTTTCCTTTCCCCTGTTGCTGTTTGTGTGTGTGTTTGTGTCTGTGCTGTGCCTATGATCATGGCAGTGTGCATGTGCCTTTGTGTCTGTACGTATGTAGTTGTGTGTGTCTGTGCGTGTGTGATTTTTCGTTGTGCGTGTGCGTGTGCGTGTCCGTGCGTCGTGTGTGCTCTTGGGACCTCGTGACTATCCTAGGGACTCCGGGACTGCACGTGAAGGGACTCGGGCGATCAGCGAGGTGACAGCTTCCCCAAGATGGGATATGATAAGACTTGCACATAGATACGCCCTTCCCGCTATAGGGGCGCGCAAGAGCTGTCAAGGAAATGGGAGCGATATTATCACCGCAAGGGGGAAAGAAGGGGAAAGCCCGCAGAAAAAGGGGAGAACCGGCTCATACGCTCTACGTAGCGGGAGAATCCAAACGCCTGTGGGAACCGAACATATAATTGAATTCCTCGCGGGGAGCGATAGGGGGTCAAATACCGCCGAGCGAGGATGTGGCGGAAAGGCTGCGGTCTCTGGAATGCAATTGTGTCGCAAACAAACAAAGAAGCCGAGGCCGCGAAACCAGCGCCGGGTTGCCGGGGCGGGGGCGGGGGGGGCGGGCGGCGGGCGGGAGGGCGGCGCGGCGGGGGCCGGATGCCGCGAAAGAGCCGTGGCGAGTGATTGGGTCTCGTTAGGCGCTTCAGAGCTGTTATTGCGGGTGATTGGCTGTCGTTGAGGCAAGGGCGCGAAGGCGGCTTGTTATTGCAAGTTCAGGCGAGGGCGAGTGATTGGGCCTCGTTAGGGAGATGCGTTGAAGAAGAATTGCTTGTGGCTGGCCGTCGGCGAGATGGGGGCGTTAACGAGCTGTTCTGGCGAGTGATTAAGTTTCAATGGGGGTTAAGATTTGTTGCGGCAGTGGGTGAGTCTCAGATTAGGCCTTGTTGGGTGGCTGCGTTAACGAGTAATGATGATGAGTGGAAGGATAGATGCGGTAGAGTCGTTAGTGTGAGTGATTAAATATATGGTGTGAGACGAGGCGAGTGATTAGATCTCGTTAGGTTGGATGCCCCTAAAGTGTAGTTATTGCGAGTAATTGGGTGTCGTTTGGTAGCCGCGTGAACTGCTTTTTTTATTGCGTGTGACTAGTTCTCCTAAGGCATAAATGCGTTAAATGTTTTCTTGCATCAAGGGCTAAGGGGGTAAGATGAATTAGAGTAGATGTGATGGTTTCTATGGCGAGTGATTGGGTCTCGTTAGAGTAGATGCCTTAGACTTAGTAAAAGCGACTGTGTATATATATTTTTTTTCTAGTTTTAGTAGATGCGTTAACGAGTGGTTTTCGAGTGACGACTGAGAAGCTTCGTTAAGCCCCAATACGTGTCACGCGCATGTTACTTCACAAAAGCTGATTCGACGGTAACAGCGGAGGTAGAAAAGAAAATTACATATAGATCTGGTTTCATCCTGAAAGTAGAGTCTTGACAGTAACTTTATTTAACAGTGTATCAGAAGAAACTTGTTATTCATTAGTATTTGTAAATGCACTATTTCACTGAAGGTAGAACGTCGCCGCGTCTCTATTGCCTTAAGATATAGTTATGTGTAGACATGAAATTTAAAGAAAAAACATCGTAAAAAGAGACAACTATCTTTATTGTTTTCTGTTACAGAACTCTAATTATTACTTTTAGATTATATACTTGTATGGGCTTGGATATAAGTATAAGATATGCAAGGTTACACGTGTGCTTGGGGTGAATGTTGGGGAAGGAAGCAAGGGCAGATGCGTATGTTCTGATGGTGGCAGTTGAGAGAGGGTGTCTGACCCC